GAGTTGGCAGTCGCCGGTCAAGTCGTCTTTATATACTGTAGAAATCAGGTGCGTTGCACGTGCGTTGCACGTGCGGAGCACCTGGTATGGTGCACGTGTGTTCTGCGTGGTCATTGAGCAGGTCAACTGGGAAGTGAGGAGTAAGCACGGATGACGCAAGCACCGTGCGTGGCACGCACATGCTTCGTGCGCTGTCCGTACAGCAATTGCACGTGAGAATAGTGAAGTTAGACTCACGGAGTCCGTACGTTGCACGCTCATAGGCTGTACGGGGCACGCGCGTCGCACGTACTCGCACGCACGGGTGGTAAATCCGCAGACCGCACGTAGAAAAAGTATTACATGCACTTAAAGTTCTACGGCGTGTCTGCGTGCTCCCAAATCCGTAGGATTCCGTACGGAGGTGGTACTCACCACGCACGGATGCCGTGCGATTGCCCACGTTTTTGCACGTAGACAGCACGCAGAAGCACGTACGGCGAGTTGTGACCGTCGCTAAAGTGATGAGTAATTTTTGGCCTAACAGGCGAACAACAGGTACAATAAATTTTTGTATGAGGTTTATGTATTTTTGTATTGAAGAGAATTCAATTCAAGAATAAAATTCAATTTTCATTGTTTACTTCGCTTGATTGCATTTCTTGTTGTGCATGTGTGTGTGTGTGTGTGTGTGTGTGTGTGTGTGTGTGTGTGTGTGTGTTGTGTGTGTGTGTGTGTGTGTCGTCGTGGTTGGTTAGATAGACAAATAATATATATATATATATATATATATATATATATAATAGTAGTCTTCATGTTTGCGTGTGCACGACTTTGTTCATGTTAAAGTCGCCCAGAATACAGTTCCGTTCTATTGTGCACGGAAATTAAGGCATTTGTATTGTCACCAAAAAGGGAAAGGTCGGCAAAATCTACTTAGGAACTATAATTGTAATGTATCTTTAGAAAGTACGCATGTTGTGAATGACATCATATGTAGACCATATAATCTATGTCCATATATTGTCAAAAAAATTGACGTCTTCTCAGGAAATACTGCTGACAGGAAGTATTGTACTTTTCATGCATCATTGATTGATGACGATTAACTGTATAGCTACGTGTCGCCCTGTCCCGAACGTTCTATACGACAACTTTTATTGTTGAATATTGGGTGACAGGAAACAACAAAAGGCTTTCAGAAAAAGGATTCGTCACGTAAGACACCCAGACGCTGTATGGGGCCGTAGAAAAGCGAGATGCACAAAATAAGAACGGTCCCTTTTACAAACCTTATGGTCTGCAGCTATTGTGAACGTAGTTTGCGTGTCGTGTCTTTGTTACGACTTAAGCTGTCCCTGGCTCGTACATAGTGTCCAGGGACAGACGATACCTCTAGTCTGGATATCTGTGGATTGCAAATAGAATGCTCTTATAGTATATGCAACTGGACATTCTCACATAAAGACAGCTATGACAATGCAAATGAAATGACACGACAATACGTACCGGGGGCTCACGGAGTATAAATGTACATGGAGCTTGTTGAGCACCTACAAGTACGATATCCCTGAAACTCTAAGTCCACGGTGCTAAGTCACCACTAGTGCGATATCCCTATACTCTAAAGTAAAGCATGTGTATGGACAGTATCGGCACTTAGGTCGACTTGATCTGGCTGCCTGGGCTGGTGAAAAATGTTGAAGACTAGCGGTGTCCTCTGGGCCGTGGTCCTGCTTGTCGCTCGCCCGGGGCTCTCTTCTCATTTCCGCGGTGGGATGATCAGCTGGGAGCCCGGGGACGTCAACCCGCAACAGGTCTGAAACTTTCATTTACTAATTTTTCTCATTTACACTAATCTATTGAGGAACAAAAGCAAGGTACTTTTAAGAAAGTCTCTGACCAAAATCATGGGTAGGATAAAAAAAAAAAACAATATCAAAGTGAAAAGTATAAGTAGGAAATAACTTGAAATAGCGTTGTGATATTTAATCATGGTGTGTAGGAATCAGTATCTTGTGTGCTATCAATACATTTCTAAAGTTTAAAGTTAAAACAATATCAGTTCTACGCTCACAGTAAGACATTTATGATTCGTAGAATCACGTTATGATTTCATACCACTAATGTAGTAAATGTAGTAATCTCTGTTAAACTTTTTTTAGAAGCTTTGCTCGAAAAATACAAATAAAACGACAACATTTTTACGGCATAGACCTTTTTTCTGGGGTTGTTGAATTTTTGGGCGACTTTCTTTAGTTGAGTTCTCGCATCAACTGAAACAAAAATAGAATTCACACGATTGTTTCATAGCTAATATCGCCATAAAAAACGTCCAAACATCTGACTATTCTATATCATTTATGTACAGGTAACGTTTCGGAGTACTTCAAACTGGAACTGGGCGAGAAAGTCGTGTACGGACAGCGACATCCTGACCGGGAACCTGTTCACTGGTGACGGGAACTGGAAATGTATGAACGGAGACTGTGCAGGGGCAACGGTACGTTACTGAACTTTGTACCTAGCGTATTGGGAAAGGTTAGAAAATATAATAGAACTTTATTGACACAACAAAAGTACAGCTCAACGGCTCCCGTCCTGTACCACAACTAGATACCGTAGGTCTTTTATTCCATATGCAACGCAACACTGGAATAGTCTAGATGTAGATGTTCGATCTCCTAATCTTTCACTCTTTAAAAAACATTTAGCCATGTTAGTACGTCCCCGGTACCCCTGCGCCCTCCTTACTCGACTCCGCATTGAGACCTGCAGCTTAAATCATGGTTTATATCAACGTAATTTAGTTCTTAGTTCTGCCTGTACCTGTGGGTCTAAATGCGAAGACATTGTACATTTTATTTTGCACTGCCCTGTACACAACTTGCATAGGGCGACCCTTCTCAGCAACCTACAGAGCCTAGTAGGCTCTACTTTTGACTTGCGCAACTTGTCTGACCAAGCCAGTATTAATCTTTTACTGAGGGGTTCGCCCCTTTTACGTCTTGATGTTAACAAAAAAATTCTGATTCTTACTCAAACCTTTATACTAAATACCCAACGATTTACAGTTGCCGAATGATTTATATTGCCGTTAGTCTTGTATATACGAACGCTCATTTGTTGTATAGACTATAGTGGACAACCCAAAACAAAATGTTGTTCGTCTTCATATAGTATGCATCCTTTCTACTTGAAAGATAGCTAGCAGCACTTAAGCCATGGTATTGTGGTAGTATACATCGTCTAATGTGGCTTATCAGTCCTATCTTCGACTGCGAACGGCACAGAAACGGAAAAACGTGAAGTTGTATGGACACGTGTCACGTTCATCTGCGGCTGGGCTAGCCAAAATTATTATTACCTGATGCGAGCGTGCGAATATTAAAAAAATGGCAGAAAAAAAGCTGAAGTCTACGTGGTCGTAAAGGTAGAACAAATGGGTATGGCGAAAAAGTAGACTCTTCATTTTCATTTATTCACATTTTCTTCTTTTCCTTTGGCATTGGCATTCTATGACAATAGTATCGTTTTCCAATATTTCAATATTGAAATTTACGGCAAATATTTGCTCATTTAGCTATTTGTACGGTGTATAGTTGATTTTTTTAAACGGACGAAAATTCATGCGCGCGGATGTCATCCATATAATCAAATCAACATGGCCTTACTTGAAAAAGGAA